TTTTTCTCCGTTCAAAATCTAGTAAACGGAAATTTTCGTGCATTTGCCAAAGTGTTGCTGTGCCGTTCCCACATATGTAGTTGTATACTACAAACCTGTAGATAGAAGTACTAACGCAAATTTTCAGCTCTTGGATATAGTTTTCCCTAGTCGGATGGTCCAAGCTAAAATTCAAATTTCTCGAGAACTAAAGCTTGTAGAGAGCTGAAAATTAACATTTATGCTTCTACAGGTTTGTAGTATACAACTACATATGTGGGAACGGCACAGCAACACTTTGGCAAACGCACGAAAATTTCCGTTTTCCTGATTTCTAACAGAGCAAAAGATACTGCAAAGGCGTTTATAGATGTCTTATGTGAATAGTGTTTACGTGAGCAAGTTAGAATTTTTGTAGGTTTTTTATGAACTGAATTACAATTTTTCTCAATTTTTCGGGCAGTTGAATCTTTTTAGTATTTGGCTCGAAAGTCGTGGTGGATCAGAGCTGTTGCTAAAGCAAGATTGCCACCTTGTAGAGATTGCTTTGCTCTATCGAATGGTGTTTGGCAACCTACTTAGAATTGACAAGTGTATGACTTATTGCGGTTGGAATTCAAAACCTGCATTAATTCTGTTACAACCTAATAGAACGGCTGGTGAATTGTGGAAACATCTTGTTGTCCCAAATTCTACTCGCCATAGCCCCAGGATATGAAGATCTTGCTAAGCAGATATGAGTTTCGAAATCAGCATGTCACATAACCTCTACGAGCAAGTTTTCCGATATGTTCGGGTTATTTCATTTCTTCTCGTTTTACGCTCCGGATGCTCGCCGATGTATTTTGGTCAAAATGTTGATGCTCTTGAATTGTAAAGTGCAACTTTTATTTCCAGAAAGAGCGACTTACTGGTCCAGTACAAGAGTTTCTGTCTTGTTTGGTTTTAGTTCTGAGAAAAAACCTTAAAACCCAAAAAAAATTCTTGAAATTCTTCTCGAAGTTTTTATCCTTATTCTACAATAATAAAGAGTGATTGATGATTCGCTCCCTACTGTAAGTCCAATGTTGAGTTTCTCTCTGCAGAATGGCACCTGAAGCTCTGCGAAAGACGTGAAAGCAAGAACGAGTTATTAGCGATCAAACATCGTTCACATTTTTTGGGACACCTTGTATATCAAACATTTTCGTGGCAACAACTCAAAAAGAAGGACGCAAAACTTTATTCTCGACTAGTTTCATCAAAAAAAGGACAACGCTCATCAAACTTTGAAAGAGAAATGACACCCATACATTACAAGAAATAAAACAGCGAATTCCGAACACATCACTGTCCCTGTTCGACAACTGCCTTTCAACATCAGTACTAAACAGTTTTTTCACATAAGATGTTGCTTGTTTCTTGGTACGTGCCACGTCGGTAATATCAAAAGAAGCAAAATAACTTTTTTGCTACACCTCAAAAGCGATGCTAAATGTTCGCTCGTTTTCCTGTTTGCCCAATTTGTTTACATTCCGCTTGTCTGGCTGTTTGAGTATGTTTTGCAAAGGAAATTTCATTTCCAAACCGATCTGGACCAAACTTCACAAACACTTGAAGTGGTTAAGTGTCGTGAGGAATTTTCCGTCACCAATTCATATCGATGGGGACGAGTGGCGTAGTGGTATGAGGCGCCACTATGACCAGATCGGACACAGGTTCGATCTCCGCTCCTGGGCCAACCAAGCCCTCTAACCCCTGAGGCCGGTAAATTGGTACCAGAGTAATCTGGGAGGATAAAAGCACTGACTTGAAAACGGCTGGCCCCCGCAAGTCACTGTAATAGGCTCGCACGCATACAACTATGAAGTTAGTGTGTGCGTTCGGGCATGCCCTCAGAGGGTATTGAAGACAGAATCCTTTATCCTTTATCCTTTAATTGATATCGATTTATTGACTTTTCAGCAAATTTGGGGTAAAACTGGGAGTTGGCGCGGATTTATAAGTAAGAATACTGACTTCGAATACTGATATCTTCTTTAAAATGGCACATTGACTCTACCAAATCACTCAATCCTTTGCAGCTTGAGGCTGACCATCGGAAGTTTTTACAGGGGTATAAGTGAACAGGTTAATTACTAGTACATCACCTTCATCGATTTTTTTTTGCAAAGTTTGAGCTAAGGGGCTGAGAGTTAACACACTCACGCAATAAGACCCGCCGGTTGAAGTAAGATTCCCGAAGCTCTAGCTTTGCCAGCTTAGATGGAATTCTAGGTAGTTCTGGCACTTTAGTGGAACACCTTGGCAAAGCTCTAGCGATTGGTCCGGGTTCGGGATACTGTAATGTAATGTTACGGTAAGTATATGTACACTTGATACATTCACAAGCAACACGAGACGGGCCAAAGATTTATGCTAACCCATCAAAAAATTATTGATTTCGATTTTATTTTTTCTGTTGTTTATCCGAAGCTTAAACCTTACATATATAGGTTTTATGTCGTACGGCTACTGTGGCTCCTCTGTGGGGCGGTGGTGAACAAATTGGATACTAATAATCGTGATCAGCACGTGATATATTCCCAAAACAATTTTTCATGAAAATCCAAAATGTTGAACTCGCACAGAATGACTACAGTAACTTTATTGTATAATCCCAAAAACTGAAATAAACCACATTTTGTTAAAACGGCGCCTTCGATAACCCCTCTAATAAAAATTCTTGGAGACATGTTTTCAATTTTCCCAGAAAAGACTACTATTTGGACAATACGACCCACGGGCGGGTCGTAAGTATGACAAAATGGAAAAGTCTCTGTTCCAAAACGGCAGTAATTGAAAAATCGGCCTTGTCATGAATGTATTAAAGCAGAAAGCAATCGAACCTACTGATTGCGAGCACATAGTGGAGGACAAGAAGCTGGCATATAAAATTTGGACGGAGACAGGAAAATTGTTAAAAGCGGAACAAAATGGCGCATTAGTTCGGAATAATGGGAAAAGTTACCCACAAATTACCCAAAACTGAACGGAGCTCCCTATGGCAAAGGTTTCAGCTAATATCTAAAGCAAAAGTCTACAATAAGGCATTCCAAAATACCGACGTTTGTCGATTTAGCCGCTAAAGTTAAGTTGTGCTTTGAACATTGAGTAACACTGCGGTAGAACACGTAAAGCCACCAAATTACCATTGCTAAAATAATTGAGTAATTACAATTAACACTATTAGCTTTATGTAGATCCTCAATATTGTGCTTCCTATGCATCAAACTTCACTGAAACATATGCTTCGTTCTGTTGTTGGAGCAAACTTTTATTTACTGAGTAAACTCACTACTTTTGCATCATCTTAAACCACGTCTTGTTACTGACTAAACGATAATTTCGGTTTTCTCGGAAATGGTCCTTTTTTGCTTATGGTAATAATGCACACGTCACGTATAATGCGAAACAAACAGCGTCAGTCTGTTTGGCAAACTGAATAGCACCTGTAAAAGTTGCATAAATGCCGAACAAGGATCGAGCGCAGATTCGGTGCTTGTTTCGTTTTTCGATACGTTTGAACGTCATTTCTCTTTCGAAGTCTAGAAAGCCTAGTACGATTTCGCCGCCCTTCAAAGAAAAACTCGTCTTTGCCTCCCTTCAAAAAAAAACTCGGCAAGCAATGACGTATAGCATCTTTCATAATATTTTCGTGAGACTTTTCAGTATATATAGCTCCAAAAACGTGATGAATGTCGATCTTTTAGTTAGGTATCATCCATATAGCTTATTTCCAAATACAGACTAATATCACCAACTCACCTCATGCTTTTCAGTAAACCGGAAAGTATCAACTTCATTTATTCATAATCAGTACAGTTTCGCCGTACATAATAGTGTGTAAACGACTCTTCGTGTCTTCTCTTCTTCGTGAGAACTACACATACTCGAAGGAACAATCTTTCGTGCGGACCTCGATCGGAAAACCTAATTTGAGAATGCTTAAGAAGAAAGATAGTTTTACATTTATTTAACTCCATTTCGTCCCTTTCCTTAGACGGAGTTTCAAAATCTAGACCCTTTTCGGGACTCATCAATAAGGGGAGAGGGTCTAGATTTTAAAGGCGTCCAAACGTTTAAAAGGTACGCTTTCAAACATTGCGCGAAGTTTAGAGCTTCAAGTGCTTCGCTGGAGAAGGGAGTACATGATTAAACCTACATGAGAGGAGAAAGAATGTTACCAAAGCTTATAGCATATGAGTTTGTACAAAACAACATAAATAGCAATAGTCTAGGTACACGAAAAGCTAACTTGCATTCTAGCTTTTCCATCTACATATAGTAGTAAGTTACTGCTACACAGTTTTCCTTTTTTTATTTTGAGAGTTTTCGCCTTAGCAGTTGATTCACAATGGTGTGTGTTGGAAGTTCCGGTAATTTTACAACAAAAGCGAAATGTGATTTGTGATACAATAAATCAGCTGGAGCCAGCTCTATAAAATGACTCATCAGGTTGTTTCATATGTTCCGCCCATTTTAAGTTTCATTCGCAAGAATTCATCAACTTCTACATATTAGATAGGTTCCAAGGTACATTTCGATAGAGCAAAGAAAGCTCTACAAGACTACGTTCTTGTCTTCGCACCACATCCATCTCGAGTTTGAAGCCGAGAAACAAAATGATCCAGCCGCCCGAAAAAAATTCAAAAAATCGTAACTCTTTCAAAAATCCCAGAAAATTCCTAACTTGCTCACCGATACACTTAGCACAGCACCACTTTGGCAAAAACATAAAATTTTTCGTTTTTTTTGATTTCTATCCAAGGAAAAAATACAGCAACAGCGTATATAAATGCCTGATGTGTAGTGTATCAGTGATTAGCAATTCTTGTAATTTCTTTGAAAAAACTACGCTTTTTTCTTTGTTTTCCGGGCGATTGGATCTTTTCACTTTTAGATTTCAAACTCGAAACGGATTCGAATTGGTGCTACAACACTTGCTGTTAGTTTCAAAGCAATAGTGTCGCTTTTGACCGAGTATCAGTCACTTCTAATTTCTTAATTTCAGAATGAGCGCAAAGTCATTGCTTATTGTCGGAGCGACATATGTCTTGACTGTGATGGCAAAATCTGACGTAGATGAAGCTATAGTGCAGGAACAAAGAACGAGATTGTGGAATCAGTATCCAGATTCGAATGGGAAATACATTGTTCCATATCAATTCTCAAATTCTTCTTACAGTAAGTTGACGTTATCTACTTCCACATAGTAGCAATTTACACAGCCATTCACCTGAGGGCCTAAGGCCTAAAGTGCTGGGCATACTTCACGCGATTTCAGTCGCGACGCGATTTGGCAATATTCCAACTGTTCATAATTCGCTGTAAACCCCATTTTAAGTGTACAGGTAGATAGGGCATTTTATCAAGCCACATAAGTTATACACACTGTGCATGCGCGTTTTGCTAGTGTTGGATCTGAAGACTTTTAGCGAAATGCCAAACCGCGTCGCGACTAAAATCGCGTGAAGTATGCCCGGCCCTTAAGGCACACTTCACGCGATTTAGAGTCGGAGCGGCTGTTTATGAGTGGTGGTTAGTGGTTTGTTTGGACAGGACCTGATCCGTTTGCAAGAACTTACAAAGTTTACGACCGTTTACATTTGAGTACCCGAGCATAATCACTTTGTAAACATGTACATATGGAAAGTTGCGATATTGCGTGAATGTCACGACTAAGCCAGCCACGTGAGGTGTGCCTTGGGCCATCTATTGCTACCACTATTATATTGAATGATGTTGCTTTTTCGCTAAAGTAAATCAAATAAGTTAATCAAAAAACCTAAAAATATTTTTTAAGAATCTAGCGAGCGCTGTCCGATCGTAGCTGCTATGGAGACAATTGCCGCCAACACATGCATTGAATTCAGACCTCGTATGGGTGAAGAAGACTATATCGAGTTTATCAATGGGATAAGCATGGGGCACGTTACTTCTATTTAGCGTTTCCTTGAAAACATGATCAGTATTTTAGAGTTTTTTTCTTAGTGAATGTGTTTTAATAGCTTTTTTCAATCACTACTACATGTATAGGGCATTCGAAAAATCGTGACAATGGCGCGACCGCGCGCGACGCGCTTTCCTGCTTACACATGACAGTATTAGACACCGGAAGTGCTGAGTATTGAAGTGTTGCCTGTTAGTAGGTTGTTTTATGCTCCTGTGTGCGCAAAGACCGCAGCCAACCTCGTCGTCATGATTTTAAAATGAACTATACAAACATTTATTACTGTTTTACCGAAGAAATTCCGTGCTTTTTGAGGACTAACCTTACAGATGCTTCTCAAAACACACCGGAAGAGTTGCAGGAAAAAATGCTGTATATCTTGAGTCGGATGAAGAAACAAGGTGAGATTTCCTTCAGCCAAATTTCACTGAATGCACTTCATTGAATTTCAATATTCAGTTGCGTGGGTGGCTACGCAATGATGCCGCTTTTGGCATGTTTGGGACTTTATGGTGAACATAAGCGAGTAGACAGAGATAAATACATAAAAGTGCATCTGGAAAACTTGGCAGGTGGCTTTTGAAAACTCTTTATGGAAGCTTAGTGACACATGTGGTTGTTTTCAGATCCACAAGACGAGTCTATCTTTGCGATAGAAAATTCAACGAAAAAGTATGCCAGCGTTCCTTACGACTATCTCTCCATCATGCACTATGGAAAAGACGCTTTTGCTAGAGCGAGGACGATTACCATTGAAACACTTGATCCCGCATTCCAGGTGATTTTTAAATTTTACAATTCAAGCATAAGAATGCGAACAGTTGATTTAGGATATTATTGGAGATATTAAAGAAGAGCCAACTGCTCGCGACTATGAAAAGATCAATGTGCTTTATCAATGCAAACAACCTTGAATCAGAGTGTGATAAGATTTTGTTCGTGAAATTATGATTATCAGTCTTGGAACCTTAACCATCAATGAAGCGTACTTTATCAAGAGAGCCATCTCGAGTAAGTCGTTCTGGAACTTGAAGATTTTAGAGCCTCACTCTCTTGTGATATCGAGATATCACTTGAATTTTCAAGGGAATTGAGTAGATGTTCTGACACTGAGTACGGAGGAACCGGGGCCTAAGGCCTAAGGCATACCTCGCGCGATTCCGGTCGCTGAGCGATTTGGCATAACAGCGACTCTTTGTAATTCGTCGTTAGTGCGCTTCCTTTGGTCAGGAGTTGACCCATTTGCAACAACTTACACAAGCTACCCGCCTATGCGTTTGAGAAGCGCGCACGGCAAAACTGTAGAAATCTGGCAAATCGCCAAGTCGCTTGAAAGCGGCGATTTGGCCGAATCACGTGAGATATGCCTTAGGGCTACAATGCCGTTGCGACTGGAGATTTTCGCAGCGTCCGCGGACTAGCGGAGAATGGATCACTGCAGTGAATTTAATGCAGTGCCCAGGCAAATCGGAATGTATGGGTTGTTCGTCTAAAAACTGATGAGAGGTTCCTAACCGAAGCACTGCCCACGTTTCAGCGCAAATGATTCTTTCACGGCTGAGGAATCTGTCCCTGAAACCCTTTGCGCCTGCGCGGTGGCTCACGTTAACACTATTTCGCGTTGGAACTATTCTAAGTCACTTCACTTGCGATTTACGGTCACGGCATAGGATAAGAGTGTTTAGGGACGGATTTCTCAGCCGTAAATGAATCATTCACGCTACCGCTTGGGCAGTGCTTCAATTAGGAACTTCTCATCAATTTCTAGACGAAAAACCCATACGTTCCGATTTGCCCACTGCCTTGAATTCACTGCAGTGATTCATTCTCCGGCTGGTCCGCGGACACTGCGAAAATTCAGCAGTAATTTGCCCGGTGTAGTGAAATAAAGGCCGCGGCTTGTCCGCTCCTTACTGAGTGGGTCAAGCTTCTCACACTCTTTTGAAAAAGGTTTTTTATTTTAGAATCAACCTGTCCTACTCAGGTAGAGTCTTTTTATCGTAATGATAACATCATGGGAAAACATTCAGCACCAAACTAAATGCATGAGAAAGAGAAAGGAAGAAAAATGGGTGAAAAAAGTGCTGACTTATTAAGTACGGCTTAAAAGCAACTTCTGAGAGATGGTTTCTCACCCAGTGAAGAAATATCGATTAATACCATATATACATATACAGAGTGTCCCAAAAAATGTGAACACTGTTTGATCGTTAATAACTCCGTTGCTTTCATGTCTTTCGCCGAGCTTGAGGCACCATTCTGTGGAGCGAGGTTCAACTTAGATTCACAGCATGGAGCGAATCACCGATCGCTGTTCGTTACTGTAAGATTACGGCATAAATTCTAGCATGTGGATTTGTTGTAAAATATGCCTTGACAAAAGTTTATTCAAAAAATCTGAGTAATCGTGTACTAGGGTTTTCGCGCACGCTGATTTCATTACACAATTTTTACAAGTGTTTTTAGCTTTTTTGACGGTGTAATCACATTTCTGAAAATGCTGGAAATTCAGTTATTACGGTTTACCTGGGATAACCTTGGAAAGAAGCATCACAGTAACGTGAAAACTTCATATTCGAAATCAGCGTCTTTCTTTACTATAATATAGAAGTTTTTGGCTTGTTTGATTCTGTTCCGAGGCAGAATATGGCCTCCAATGGCCTAAATTCCTTGTCGAAGTTCCTCCCGTAATGCTACAGTAATGAAGAGCGATCGCCGATTCGGTCCATACCGTAAATCTAACTTAAACCTCGATCTATAGAATGGTGCCTAAAGTTCGGCGAAAGACATGAAAGCACGGGAGTTATTAACAATCAAACAGTGTTCACATTTTTTGCGACACCCTGTATATTGTTCGACTCTCTACGAATCTCAGCATGACGTTGAGTCTGTTATATCATGAATACGTTGAATTACCTGTTCGGCAGCCTTTAAACTTGAACTCCAAAAGAGGCAGTTGGGAAGGAAACAGAAAGTCATGCGAAGCCTCGATGCTTACGAACAAACTTTTACGGTGGCTAAACGCAATCAAGTTGTGAGATAATGGTTGAAAAAAGTGGGAGTGAAGCGAAACCATAAGAACTCTCAAGAGATTTTATTGTAGGCAAAACTTTTCTGGCTCGACGCCGACACTGTGCACAAGAGCGGACAAGCAATCCTTGTCTCCGGATAAATTCATGGCCTGGATACTAGTAAAATCGTTTTTTAAAGCAGATTATGTAATGGAACTCGCAAAAAAGCAGTTATACAGAGCGACGTTCACTGGAAACACAATGGCCCGTAGTAAACCCCCATCAGGGCATCTCTCTTGACGCGGACCGGGGTGTTCTCATCGCGCCTCAGTCTAGCATCCGGCGAGCTATTGATCTGGATGCAGATCACTTCCTGGACGTTATAATCAAGTGCATTCTTGAAAAGGTGGTTACTTTGAGCCGGTTTGGTCGAACGGATAAGTGGTTGGAAGTACATGCGCGCGGCCGTGGTTCAACTCCGTCTAGAGACGCATCTTTTGCTGCATCGCCGGGCAATCTTTGATAGCGGCCACTATCGCAATCGATCATGACCGCTATCGAGGATTTCGCCTAGCAATGGACGGATAAAACAAAAACACATTTTGTGACGAGAATTTTACCAAAAAAACGAAAAATTGCAGCGTGGATTTAATAAAATGAACAAATGAGTTCTCATTTTGGACAACTTCAAAAAAAACAATGAAGTTTACAAAAAGAAAAGGATTTGTTTTTTGTTTTCCTCGCCAAAATCAGCTGTTCATCGATACTCTCTTATTCGGGCGCGGTTGTGCAGTTTTGCGCCGATTTTGTCTGCATTTTTAGCGTAATTGATGTGTATCGTAAGTAACTCAGGAGCAACTCACGGGAGTCTTGTCTGCGTTCCGCCTTTTGCACACTATTTGCGTCACTCTAACATCAGTTCACGTTCAGTTCAACTGAACGTGAACTGATGTGCACGAGTTGACTGCAGCATGAATGAAGCTGCAGTTTTACAATTTTGAAACCTCACGAGTTGTTATGAGACCAAACACAGCATATGCGACAGCATCCATGATGGTACAGGCATTTGTCACCGCAGGTAATGCATTATGGGATTTTCTACGCGTGTGTTACCAGAAACGCTAACTTTGACATTTGTACCTCACATCAACAGTTTTACTTATGTTCCCCGACATTCGATTGGCGGTTAAGAATAGTAGTGACTTTTTATAGGCTGCGTCTAGGGTTTCCATCAGCGCCGGAGCTGATTACTCTGTGCCAACGCAACCTAAAAGCAATTTTCTGAGTATTTCCAACATGACGCTAGCATGTCGTTAACACGTGCAGCTTTGGACGGAACTTTACTGAAAAAAGGAATGATAGGAAAACTCGCTACGTACTCAGTAAAAATTATTAGGTTGTAAAGAAAGTTTCCGGGCACTTTTGGAAATTTTATTTTCTGACGCAATTTTTTGGCGCTCGATCAGATTTTGACAACAAGATTTTTATACTGTTCATTAGAAGAACGCATAAACTTTTTGAAATCGCTTCCGATTTCCATGCAAATAAAGCATGTTTGATCTGCACGTCAAAAAGCAAATCTTTCCAACCATAAAAATTTCACATTTTTTTCTCCTGCTGCCATTTTTCTGTGCAGTGCAAGGAATTTCGTCCAAATCATAGGTGATCTAAATGAGGAGCCTTTCATCTTTTAACCCACAGATGCATTAGCGTTCGCGATTTGCGCTCAGAAATTAAAAGCCGACAAACTTGCCTCGGATCGCAGCTACTTTCGCATGTGAATTCGTTTCTGCGGAGGCTTGGCCTGGATGATGGGTCCAAGAGATGTGCAAGGCATTATTCCAACATGTTCCCAGTAATCAAAGATTTGATCAGTTCCGTGTAGAACTAAAAGACTTCAAAATCACTTGTTCGAGAAGTGGTGCATTTTTAAGGGCAAAAAAATGGTCGGTTTTTCGAACTTTCTGAGCGAAATTTTTTTGCAGGTGTGGTTCTTCAAAAACATAAATGGTCCCCATAACAACACTAGCAAAACATAACCACAGCATTTGGGCTCCCCAGTTTTCATCATGTCTGAGATAATCTTGCACAAACAGGCCATTTTTCTCGTCCACCTTTTTCCATTTTGGGCATGTTGCTAAACCGCAATAAAGCGCTGAAAAGCCAACAAGAGAAAATTTTGTTGTAGATGAATATGTATTTGCAAAGAAACCTGCAGCTGAACTGTATACTCTGAAATAGCTTCAAACGCTGATCTCAAATATGCTCTGCCGCGCACCATTTCGAAGCGAGTTATGGGCTTTTTCCTGCGCAAAATTAACATACTTATCTACTCACTGGCATCACGCATCGTCATCCAAGTGCTAATACACTTGCGCTAAGCTTCTTTTTAGTAAGAAAATATTAAATTTGTGTTATTTTGATATCTCAGCACCCTTTTACCTACAAGCAGTCTTTCCATGTTCAGTAGTATGTCAATTCTGCGCAGAAAAATGCCCATAACTCCCTTCGGAATGGTGCGCGGTAGCTAAGAATATCATATCTGCAATCAGCGTTTAGAGCTGGTTCAGAACATATATGTCGCTTGCCAAAAGGCCGAGCTAAGTTCCCTTAGAGTCTACAAAAGGAAGCGTGACAATCCTCATCGTTTGGCAATTCATAATTACTCATATGCTTGTACAGTCGAGTAGATTTTCCGCTTAATATAGTGTGCTTGCACAGTTTATGAAATGCGGTAAAATTTGCGCGTGAACAGGTAGCTGCGCCAGCACTGCCGGCATTTTGCGCGCGCAAATGGCCGACGTTACAGTCGAAGCTATTTCCTCACGCGCAAATTTTACCGCATTTCATAAACTGTGCAAGCACACTATATTAAGCGGAAAATCTACTCGACTGTACTTGTTCTTGTTGTGTGCACTTCTCATGTACCCGCTAGTTCACTCTCTGTTTGTTGTCTCTTTTTCCGCATCTGCTCTGTTTGCACATACTTTCCTGGTAGGGCAATTTGAAGTTCAAACTTTTGAGAATGAAATGACCTCTATCAATTTCTTTTCAAATCTTTAATTGATCAAGCATTTGGTAATTGGTACGCAGGAATAACCGATCATACCAATCACGAAAATCTAGCAATGTGTGAGTGCTATCTTTACTATTCCAAAAATTTTACACTTCTTACTATGGGTAGCCCAGAATGGCAAACAGCTATGGGTTGGTCACAGACGAATTTTCGACTACGTAGAGTGCTGGTTAGATGCATTGCATTAGTCTACAAACTTATCCCAAATTCAAAGGGAAAGCCAGTTGGCACTTAGAAACGCTATCGAAGGATGATTTCTATGAAAATGTAACAGAAAAGTACCAAGCGTAATTAAATTCGCCAGCAAGTAATCTCTGTGGGGTAGACGATTGTTTAAGTAAGAGTAGGCTAAGCTAACTTTCAATCAAGGGCAGTAACATACGTTTACTCTATTTGACTATCACCCATCTGAAATAATAGTTGAGTTCATTACACCTGAAAAAAGAAAGTGGCCATTGGATACACAGAAACATGAAAGATTGCACTTAGTATGTGGGTGTAATTATATAATAGCCGGCATCCAGTTTCTGACTAGATTGAGGCATGTTCACTCCCTGTTTCTTTTTTCTTGCTGTGAATTTCATTTCTGTGAGTCAGTCCGTAAATGTCGTGATTCGCTCCAATGTAAGTTACGGTTGAGTTGTTTTGATGGTTTTATATTTCATTTCATTTGGAACGCTCAAAAGCGGTCACAATGAGAATAAATAATAGGTGACATCAACGGGGGAAGTCAGACCTTCCCAGTGCTGGTCCCTGAGGGGGCGACGTAATGTATGGCTGAACACGAAATTGGTAGATATGTTCAATCCTTACGGGCTTTTGGTCAGTTTTATTTTGCAATAGTGTAAGCGTATTCAAGAGAATATTGCTTGTTTCTTTTTCAGAAATTTTGCTGCTCATGCGCGCAGGATGCAAGTTGGTGGTATTGGCTTAACCCTTTTCGCGAATATAAAACTATTAGCGCAGAGTTCGTTGTGATATCTTGATCATACACTCCATGTGAGATCGAATTTTGCCTATCTTTGCAGAGGATCATCGAGGAACGACAGTTTTGCATCTCTTATGAACCAAATGCCCAGAATTTTGCATAAGGTATGAAACAAGTTCAAACGTTTGCCATTATTTCAGACGTCTGCTCAATTTGTTACAGTACCATTTCGTGCAAAAATATCGTGCTTGTTTCTACACTTTTCACGAAAAGTAGTCATCTTCCAGCTATAAAAAGGACGCAGCATTGTAGAGTTGAGGTTTGCGTTAATAGCTTGCACATTTCGAGGCGATACTTTACGTATTCCCTGCTATCAACAATCTTCCCTTGCGTAGAAATCTCTGCATGCCATGTCTACAGCTTACAAACCGCAAGCTCTGCTCCTGTTTTACAGAAGCGCTAGTACATATCGTACATGTATTTACGCTTTCCATGTTCCTTATCTAAATTTGGCGCTGGAAAATTTTCCAAATCTTTGCTATGTCTAAGTCCAAGGATCTATGCTGCCGTCTTTTGAATATATCTTTTACCTCAATTTTTGTGAAGAAAAGAAAGATTTCTCACAGTACAACTAACAAGGAAAGGATATTCGGTCACCGTGGTCACTTGGAATGCGATGTATTCTGTAAGATGCATCTCAGAACGTGGTTCCAAATCTGTGCTTGATATCTGCGAAACGCTCTTCTGAAGGAAGTTATGAACTTTTTTTGTAGAAAATTTGCGTATTTTTGTGTAGTTAAAATCACCAAATTTGTTCTAAGCATACCTTCGATAGTCTAGAGACAGGGCGTCAAAAGTGAAGGTTGTTTGAACATCTGACGTCATAAATAGTGAAGGTTGCTTAAAGATGATCAGAGAAGAGAAAATGACATAAAACAGATACAAAAAGCAAAAGAAACTGCTGAAAATGGGATAAAAACGCTGCAATGAGGCTTGAAATCTTTCATTTGGCGGCTTTTCAAAGTGCAAGTTTTCGCTTTAGGACCAGCAATTCCCAACACGGGGTTTTGATTTTTGATGCGTCCTTTGAATTTTTACCCCCGCATTGACGTTCCTGTTTCCTGGGACGTTGTCTGGATTGTTGCGCTTATTGTTCTGAGCAACAATCGCCCAAGCTGGAAAAAAATCGATGCGAAGGCATTGAAACAGAACAAGGTAAAGAAAAACGCACTTTTTACGATTTTTCGCAAAAAACTCCACAATAATCGAAGAGATAAAGGCTGGGTGGTTGTCTGCATTATGAACAGAAGCAAGATCTATAGAATGCACGAAAAAACCGGATAAAAAGAGGCAAACTAGAAGAAAAACAAGAGATTTTCGAAAACAAGGTTTTTGCCGGATTTCTCGTCCAAATCAAGAAATGTGATTTTGGGACGTTGTCAGCGTGATAATATAGATCAAGAGCTTCAAAATGATATATAGCTTGCTATAATTGGGTGCGAAACAGCGAAGAAAAGGGTACCAGAGCCAAATGCCCCGCGCCCCGCGTTTGGGGTAGCGAGGTAGCGCGCAGCGCGCGGAGACGCAGACGAGCAGCGGAGACAGACCAGAGCCACGGGGCATTTGGCTCTGGTCGTGATCTCCGCGGGGTCTCAACGAAACCCTGCAACATTATATATCATTCTGACCGTCATGACACGACGAGGAGAGCTGACAACGTCCCAAGCTTTAAAAGTCACTTACTAACGAGATAGACCAGCATTTTCGTGCGCGACTCTCTGCGCACAACTAGGCGCAGTTTCTCATTTTAACAACTACAACAGCTTTCCAAACTTTTGAAACTCATTTTTGGTCAAGGAGGCTAACTGAGGAACGTTGTCCTGAATTCTGAGGAAATTTTCACAGAAATTCTCTTTTCAGCGTAAAAAAGGCTTTAAAAAAGCAATTTCTCGGTTTCGCTGAGACATTCTTCAGATATTCTTTCCTATATTTGGTTCATTCACATTCTTCCGATATAGTCAGGATTATAACATCCGGGGCTTCGCCCCGGATAACTTCTGTTTTTTTCCCAGGTGAAGGTTGTGTCCCCTCATAGCCCTCAAAGTGAAGGTTACCAGAGTATGTGGCTCTATGTATCGAGGGTATGGTTCTAAGTTTCTACCTGAAGCTATTGAAGAGAATCTCAAAAGGAATACTGTTGCATTATACCTACCTAAATCATATACAGCATTTGAAAAGGAAAGAAAATTTTTTATAGATGATTTTGACCCTCCGCAGTGAGGCAGTTTGTTCATGGAAAAATAATCATAACTCCATTTAGATTATCGTTTCGCAGATATGGAAGACAGTATTCGAACTAGCATTAAAAGACGCATTTTTTGATATACAAACCATTTGAATGGTCGCGGTGCCAAGTATCCTTCCCTTGTAAGTCTAATACATCCAACCAATTATAATCGAGCTTTACAAACGATATTATATACACTATAAATTACGACTACTCGGAAAATGTATTTTCTGTCAGGGTGAAATGGTAGGGTGTATTTTCTGTCAGGGTCTTCACATGTTGATTGACTGTGTAAGTATAGCATCTTGCAAGTCTTTTGCTTTATCATCAAATATTCAAATTTTGAAAGTTGTACCACTAATCCACTAAATCTGAAGCAATGGTTCTAGTTATGTTTTGACAAAATTTTGTCCCTCTGAACAAAGACAAACAGCTTTCAAAGCAGACTTCGTCTTTTTTGGTTTCTAAGACATATAGTTTTCTGTCCTGCAACATACGTGAAATAACTGCACTAAGTTTGAAAAGAGCAATACTAGAGCTCACCAGCTTTCAGAGAACACGCTTGCAGTCTGCGGGCCTTGTGGGCTTTTACTGACTGTCGCCGCGGTTCGGGGGCACTTTAAGCTGCCATGTCGCCGCGTGCTATATAGCTGGAAGTAATCACATGCAATCATTAGTTCTCTTGTTGAAGTTTCAATGTACTTAGTGAAATCATTTCTTTGAAGGCAATCAAGAAGGGTCCTCGAGAGTTTGTATGCCTCTACCAAAAAAGAAGTTTCGGATGGAACAAGCACCGAATGGTTTGCTTTCTCAGGCCAGTAAAACTTCCTAAAAGCAACAACCGTAATCGTCCTGTCGGTTGTTGTTTTTAGGGAGAGAAAAAGTTGATTGCGGAATTGCAAATGTTTTGCATTTTTGATTTTTCACTTTCAGCAAAATATCAATATGCTTCTATTGTAGACTATATTGTTTTACCGGATATTGTTCTGTGACATACATCAACAAATGTTTTTGTATGGTTTATGTCGTGATTAAAGATGGTGTTTAGAACGTATGAGAGAAACGGTTATGGTCGAGAATATCATAACTGACATAACTGTTTCATATGACAGTTAATAGTACTCTTTATGTAACAGTTGTTTTTGTTCCTTATAGGCACGATTCATAACACTTTGCTTTATTTCAAAATGTGATGTTATGTTATGGGTAATCCGTTAATTATGGGAAAAGCACAAGTTCCACTGAAAGTTGTCATGCATAAGAATATTGCAAATCTTTATTGGTACGTTGCGCTAAATGAACAAATCCACTCTGAAGGTGTTGGCTGCATACATCATGGAAATGGTAATGCTCAGATAAACAAGCTTCACTTGCGTTTTTCTATATAACACCCACCCTTCCAGTGCGCTGTTGCTTTAGGTGTACTAAAATCGTCAGTACCACGTGTTTCGTCGAAAACATAACTGGAAACAAAGCCATTAAAAACTACCGCAGGGCATTTGAATAATCGTGAAGATGGCGCGACACCGCGCGCGACATGCACGCACTACCGGCAACCGCATTTGCTTGGTTTCGATCTCTACTTAAACGGTTTTTCTGCTTGCATATCATAGTATCCTAGACGCTGGAAGTAACTGGCTGAGCGCTGAGATGATGCCTTTTTGTATGAGTGTTTTATGCTCCTGTGGGCGCAAAGACCGAGCCAAAACCGTCGTCACGGTTTTAAGAATGACCTATACTCCGCGAAGAATCATATAACGTACTTTATCAACACACAGCTCTAATTGTAAGCCTCTGCGGCCGCCATGCGCAATTTGCATTGCGTTCGCAAACCTAATGCACCTTTTGGCATTTTTAAACTTTCTTCGCTGCATAGGCAGGAAATTGCTCAGAAGATAAGCTGAAATGCGGTCAAATGGAGGTTCCATACTGAGTATTTGGCAGTGGCACTGTCGTCAAGGCTGCCACACGAATGTTTCCTTTGCATCTGCTCATACTTCTCAGCAAATTTCAAATAGATGATATAAGGAGAGTTAAATTAGTGTTGCTTAAGTGTAAGCTCTAAGAAAATAGACGAGCGGACGACTACAGTCAGGATTATGTTTTTGTGTTATATTACTAGCTGGCTTACCCGGCTCTGCCGTATGTTCCGAATAGAAAATTCCATTTCTTAACCGATCCGGACCAAACTTGGCACACATACCCTTCGGGCCCCGGCGGGTGTCACAGTCCACTTTTCGTTATCGATCGATGTCGATTTTATCGATTTTTTGCAAAATTTGAGCTAGGGGGCTGGAATTTGGCAGAGGGGTGTAATCGAGCATGCTGATCACCCCCGTGGGGGTGATCAGCATGCTCGATTACCCCCTGTGCCAACTCCTAGCCCTGTAGCTCAAATTTTGCAAAAAATCGATAAAATCGACATCGATCGATGACGAAAAGTAGCCTATGACACCCGCCGGGGCCCGAAGTGTATGTGTGCAAAGTTTGGTGCCGATCGGATCAGAAATGGAATTTTCTATTCGGAACATACGTACACACAGACAGACAGACAGACATACAGACAGACAGACAGACAGACAGACATACAAACAGACATTTAGCTTTATATAAGATGAAACGGCTGGAATCCGCTAGTGGTGTTCGATCAAAAAATTGAGATACTCGGCGGCAAAGTCGTCACGATCGATGCGATCGCATTCATTGCTCATAATAGGCGGTGTCCTCTGCTTAGTTCCCAATCGAATCCCAACAAATCGGTTTCCCTCGGGAGCTGAAATGTGACAGTGGTTGGATCATGGAACACTACGGCAACAGCCCTACACCGTCAATTTTTTTCTACCTGCGTCCTTCAACTTCGACGCACATCCAAGTGATTATATATGGTGATCTTAATGTTTTTGAGTCGACTTATATTCTATTCATATTATAGAGTTTAATACAGTAGCAGGTGTACAATTGAATGCCACAATTGAATGTGGAGAAAATAAAACATGGCATTTTTAGAAAATGCAATGCTGGGCTTCTCTTATATGTGTAGCTAAATCTAAACTGCAAAATTTTGGAAGTATAATATCAACTTGGCTCAAAAGTTCTTGCGTAATTTTAACAAAAATCAATAGTCTACTCAACCTAAGCTCAAGATTTAGTATCCTGAAAAATACATCAAGGTTTCGCTTTATAACCGATGTCTGAGCGTAACATTCTACAAGTTGGTCACCAAAAATGAAGCTTCCAGAAATGGCTATCCAAATTTTGCGATTTTGATTTGATGCTAGAAATCGAGGCGGGCGCTGGCTGGCCAAATGTGTAAAAATTTCTTACACAGCAAAATTTCATGAAGTAATCTTCAATTTCTTTCAAAGTTGAAGATTATGGAAAAGAAGAACATCGCGCTACATTTGCAGTATATTTAACAATAAAGCACTATAAAGAATGTTGCCCCTTTGAATTTCTCTCTTCCCCTCTTTGCGAATAATAACAAGATTCTTTCGTTCCATAAAACTTTGAAAATTTAAACAATTGGCAACGACATCTCTTAGATATTGTATATAAGTAAGCATCCGAGGATACGTTCCTTACTATCAGCTGACCGCCGGCGCATATTTTGTCGGAATTAAGCTGCGTGATTTGTAGAGAATCTTTTCTTAATAAAGCATACAAACAGCAACGCAAAGTAGCCGTAAAAGCTTCTTATTGTAAAAACTGGCGTAAGTCCCCATTTGAAAGAGACCACCAACATACAAAACTATGGAATCTAGAATATGTTCGCTCTTAATATCTTTTTTGAGCTGCGAAATAGGGGTGTAGAACTCGATGGGCAGTAATTCACTGCGGCTTTTTTAATCAACTTTGAAATCATTTCTGAGAGGAATTCGCGTTCTCAAGAGTAAGATACAAACTAGAATTGGGGCTTGAATCTCGTTTTGACATCATTTTCTATGAAAAATTACCTTGTTGTTATATAGCTAAGAATAAGATCTTTGTATGGGATGGTTGTGACAAGCTTCTACGGCCACATGATTATTTTAATTTTTTGATTAATTTTCCATCATTAATAAAGGTTATTTAAGTCCCAACATGGCCAGCTTCTCAAAACAGCACTTGAGCAATTAACAATAATAACTGTAATTAGCGATTGTCAGTCTGGAATTAGATGTATACAATTTTTTTTCGTCGCGAGAAACAAATTTAACGTCACTTTCTTTCCTCTTTTATTCATTCATCTAATTTTCATAAACAGAGCGCACCTTTTAATCGCCGCTGGGCTCCGTCCAGCTTCATAAAACTTCATATAAAGATTTGGCCATGGCATTTTTACAAACAGTCTAAGCAAACGAAGTTACTTTTCAGGCAACTCAATATTTTATGAGTGTCGGGGAGCTAAAGTTCAACATGGCCTCTGAAGATGAAAACAGAACAGTCAAACGAAAGCTTCATGTAAAATGACCTTTTTTGATGGAAACGCGCCTTGTTAGTTCTATAACGCTACAAAAAGTCTATTTCAAAGATGATAACCGTCAAAAATCAGAACGATCTTGGCTTAGGCCATAATTTAACCATGGCATTAACTTCTTTGAAACAATTAAGAAAGTCGAAAGCATACAACTCTAAACCAGTGAAGTCTGGAGATACACCATTAAAACTGGAAAATTTTCCGATAGTAGATTTTCTTCTGTTCGTTACATTGCCTGAGTTTGTGCAGGATGCGAGATTTTTCGAGTTATAAATTTGTTTAAATCTAAATATTAGGTTGTCAAGAAAATAATGTCGTTTTTTATTTGCTTGTTTTAACAAAGCAACCAGACTCAATCCAGCAAAGGGTAGTGGGCATTGTTCGGTAGAGCAAAGCAAGCTCTACAAGATGGCTCTCATAATAATGCGCCAAGTTCGATCCACGAAAAGTTTGAACTCAAAATCTGAAGATTTCCAAATGCCCAAAAAATAGAAAAAATGTGATCTTTGTACAAATAATTTCTACGGACCTCCCACTCGCACACGTCAATACTTTCGATATCTGATATCCATATGTGAAGCTGCTGCACTTTTTCTTCGACTAGAAATTGAGAAAACGAAAATTTTCGTGTTTTTCTAAAAGCAATGCTGACCCGTTCTTGCATATGTGATTCTATACTACTAGCCTAAGTAAGTATAACTATAGATTTTCAGCCTATTCCGAGCTGTAGTTTTCGAGAAATGTCGCTTTTAGCACTGAAACTGAAAAGAAGAAAGCTGATTTCGATATTTCTCGAAAACTACTGCTCGGAATGGGCTGAAAATCTACAGATATACTTACCTAAGCTTGTAGTATAGAATCACATATGCAAGAACGGTTCAGCATTGCTTTAAGAAAAACACGAAAATTTTCGTTTGCTCAGTTTCTAATCAAGGAAAAAGTACGGCAATCGCACATATGGATATCAGATATCGATAGTATTGATGTGAGCGAGTGCGAGGTCCGTAGAAATTATTTGGACAAAGATCTGATTTTTTCGATTTTTTGGGCATTTGGAAATCTTCAGATTTTAAGTTCAAACTTTTCGTGGATCGAACTTGGCGCGTTATTATGAGAGCCATCTTATAGAGCTTGCTTTGCTCTATCGAACAATGCCCACTATCCTTTGCTGGATTGAGTCTGGTTGCTTTGTTAAAACAAGCAAATAAAAAACGACATTATTTTCTTGACAACCTAATAATATCAATTAATTTTAAATTTAAATTTAAACAGCAGACAGAACACATTTATTAGAAAACAAATAACATTAATATTACATGCACACAATTCCACTTATTACCAGTGATAACGTAAACTAGAAAATGTTGAATAGATGAATAGTTAGTGACCAGACAGCATGGATTAGCGAAATAAAGGTAGGTTAAATGAAAATAGATTGTTGCTAATGTTTTCACTCCAGAGCTCCTCAAGATCGTCAGCTGCATAGGATTTTTCAGATCTTCGTGAGGTCATCCATATTATCAAAATGTTGGATACCCCTAAAATAATAATAAACTAGTAATATAACCAAAATGATAACTTTTCTAAAGTGTAACCATAGCCACAACTAAAAAAATTTCAGAATATTTTGTGAGAACACTAAACACCATCACTCCGTTTCGTTCCTTCCCTTAGACGGAGTTCAAAATGAGTTCTAAGTCTTTTCCGGAACTCCTCAGTAAGGAGGGAAGGCCCAGAGTCATGTACTTACTTAAGTTGCTAGACATAAAGTTAAAGAACAAGATGGAATCAGCATAACAGAGCCTACCTCATTGAAAATCCGTTGTTTTCATTGATATTATGCTTGCCTTCCATTATAAGCACTCTTCCATTTAGACTGTCAGGTAGCTCTCCTTGCTCGGAATTTTCGAAATCTCGAAACAATGGGAGCTTATATACTCCATCGTCTTCCTAGAAAAAAATTATTCACACACTCTCGTTGGATAAAATTTATCCTACCTTTATTTCATCTGGAATTACATCCAAAAAGCCCGGAGGATGTGTTGGTAGAAGGTAGCGAGCCATTTCGTTTCAGATATGTACAACGTAGACTGCATATGTTTTGTTTACATGTGGCTTTTTATAGGGGGCTGCGACGGCCGTCGAATTTTCTCGAACAGTCGCTGGCTGTGATAGAGGCTTGGGCGGCGGCTCGCCTGACATCTCGTAAACAAGGACGTGCTCCGCCTCTTTCACGTTCCTCTCGCGCAGTAAACATAGCGAAGCCAAGCTTTTACATTTTAAAGGTTCTATAAAAATAAAAATTGGATATGTAGTTCTGCGCCACGAATAAGCTTTGCAAATCTCTAAAAATGAGTTTCTGATGCTTTCATGGGCTTCCACTAGTTTGAAAATTGTAGAATGAAGTCATAAAAAACTGATTAATTCCGACAAAATTAGTCACATTTTCATGCTCTTGTTCTTTACCCTTTTTCTCTGAAAAATGTCATTATTTCTCGCCATAACAACAGCAAATTATACCTAACATACTCAGTCTCAAAAAATAAAATGAGAAAGAGCTAGCTTTCTCACCAATAATGTCTCATCTTTCCAAGGCACGGTATGAGCTGGGACGAGATAAACTTCAAAAGGAAGTTCCCTATGGCTTGAAAATTTCGTATGGAGTCCCCTTTGGCCCTAAACCTAAACGTAGAAAAACCCTCAAAAACACGAAAGGTCGCCTACAAAAACATAATCTGAGTTGTGTCTTTTCGGCCACAAAAAAGATACCCCTTTGCTTTTTGTCCCAAAAACGATATCCATCTTGACCCCGTTTCAGCTGTGCGGAACCCTGTTTCTTTCGTTTCTGCAACATTTACTCTCAAAGGTTCTGCACCACTAAAAAAATGTTTCAAAAATTTGATTACTAATGAAGCTTTCAGAATTTGAGGTGAGATCACGTTGTTTCCGCCAAAGGCTTATTACCCGATAGCCTGCCGACTTTTCTGGACAATATTGTCCTCCTGTCGATTAGCCAATTTTCGGAATTGGATGACCCTCGTGATCGAGTAAATAATAGCGTAAACCTCGTCGCGAATGTTCTGATTTCATATGAGGCAGCAGCGGCACAGCAGATGACAATGGGAGTGATTATGTATAGCTAGAATAAATAACACGTATCTGCGCAATACCACCACAAGTTTACCTCAAGATACCTCAGGTTACTCATTCGCAACAAATCTTCTGAGAACCTTTCTGCACTTGGCGGTAGCCAGCTGCATGAAAGTTAATGACCAGTTTGAACATCTGACAAGGGTAAGGATGGTTGGTGGAAGTGGCATTTTCAGACAAAACATATACCATCTCCAGGGGCATAAAACGCTGATTCCAAATACGACTTCCGCAACTGCGGAGCATTCATAGGCGGGGAGTTATGAGCATTTAATGCAGTAAAAATTGAATGATTTTTTAAGGATAAAATTAGTTGCAAAATTAGCTAAAATTTTCCTAGCGCTTAGAAGAGGCGATGCATTGTGGAAATAATTTATCTAAAAGTGGTTATTTCATAAAGCTTTCTGATAATTGTAACTGCTCCAATCAAGAGCTAAGAAAAATGTTAGGGCTATTGTAATTCTATATATACAGATTTTTTACTCCAAATAAACGCTCATAATTCTTCGCGCAGAAATGCTATGCATCTAACATAAGCAAAACAGATTCTGAGCAGCATTATGCCTTTTAAGTTGGTACAGCTTTGGTCCCAAAGGGCCACTTCGACCAACCATCCTTTCCTGGCGAGGATAGCCTTAGTTTTCGATATGCTGCATTGTCTATAACAAAATCTGAGAGTAACTAAAAGTTTGCATCATTTTTTGTGTGGGCATGATGTAGCTAATGCAATAGGCACTTGATGAATTCTGAGAGCGAGTTAGAATTTGTATGTTTTTTTTTGTGTCAGGGGATGGTGTAATTTGAACTGCAAACTAAGTTGCTATAACAAATTAGACAAGGCTCACTATGCGTCCACAATTTACGTGACAAACTTGGATTGAGATTTCATGAGTTCAAATCTTATATATAAAGCTGAATGTCTGTTTGTATGTCTGTCTGTCTGTATGTCTGTCCGTCTGTACGTATGTTCCGAATAGAAAATTCCATTTCTGAACCGATCCGGACCAAACTTGGCATACATACACTACGGGCCCCGGCGGGTGTCATAGGCTACTTTTCGTCATCGATCGATATCGATTTTATCGATTTTTATCGATTTTTTTGCTGAGTTCACCTACGGGGCTGGGAGTTGGCACAGGGGGGTAGTCGAGCATGGGGATTCCGAAAACAATATTGGTTTTCGGGATTATCGATTACTTTTATCGATTTTATCGATTTTTTTGCAAAGTTTGAGCTAGGGGGCTGGGAGTTGGCACAGGGGGGTATGCTCGATTACCCCCCTGTGCCAACTCCCAGCCCCCTAGCTCAAACTTTGCAAAAAAATCGATAAAATCGATAAAAGTAATGGACGATCTTGAAAACTAATATTGTATTCGTAATCTGCATGCTCGATTACCCCCTGTGCAAAATCCCAGCCTCGCATGTCAAAATTTACAAAAAATCGATAAAATCAATAAAAGTAATCGATAATTCTGAAAACTAATATTGTATTCGGAATCCCCATGCTCACTTCCCCCCCCTGTGCCAACTCCTAGCCCTGTAGGTGAACTCTGCAAAAAAATCGATAAAAATCGGTAAAATCGATATCGATCGATGACGAAAAGTAGCCTATGACACCCGCCGGGGCCCGTAGTGTATGTGTGCCAAGTTTGGTCCGGATACGGCGGAGCCGGGTAAGCCAGCTAGTAGATTATAAAGAAATTTCAATAATGTTAGATCTTTTCTTACTCTTTCGTATAAGTAAGCCAATCTGTTCATGCAATAAATTCATTGAATCTAATGGTAATTTTTGAAGAGGTTGAGGAGGTATCAATTGATTTAAACAGAAGAAAAACAGAGCGACATCGCTCTTGATTTGATCGCTTCAATGCCCCCCTCCCGCCCCCTCCCGCCCCCTCCCAATTAATCTCTATAAATATAAAGCAGAAAATCTGTGAGTTAGTGTATTTGTGCACATTCCCAGTAGTGCAGGGTGTGCAGGGTGTGCAGGGTGTGCAGGGTGTGCAGGATGGGGAGTTTAGACTGATAGACTGGCTCCAAACCGGAGTGAAACCCGGGAAGCCTGCTCGTTATTAAAATATATGGAACAATGAAGTCCAGGAACTACATATTATAATTTCTGGAAGCAGAAAATAGTTTTTTTGATGATTGATTTTTTTATCACTACTTCGTCCACAGAATCTACAGTTTTCAAATTTGATCTGTCACGTAATTTATTGACACATGGTATCTTGTAAGCCCTACTAGTATGAGCCGATGCTACTGTCTATTGACAGCTAAACTCAATAGGCAGGCTATAGCTATACTTGGGTCATAACGAAAAAATTAGCTAGTAAAAAATGCTTTGCAAAGAAGATTTCTCATTGTTTAATCTCGTTGCCTTACACTAGTACTCTTCACCACTCAACAAAAGCATTAGAATCTCGAGTGAACAAAATAACGACTATTTGATCTTTCAACAAACGAAATTTCTAATAAGTCGTCACCAATTCTTTTGCTCTTTGGGCAAAGCAGTTATGTTAGCGTTCATAAAATTCATGTGAGAGAAGCCTAGTATACCTCATGGCCTTCTAATCTGCCTATAAGGGTATACAACACCGGCAACCTTCCCGAACATTCGCGAGACCTGGACCCTAGATGACTCGCGCAGTAAACAAGAGTGCGCAGTGTCTAGAATGTTCCCCTGCAGATTATAGCGCAGCGAATCGGCCCAGGTATCTGCATGATTGTCCACAACACACTGATTGCGTCAACGGGGCATTCTGATTTTGTTTGCATCGTGCATTTCCTTGTCTCAGAAACTTCGTACACACCGCACTAGATCGCCACATTTGATGTTCTGCAGTAGGCATGCTTTTTCCACATTTCAAAGTTTTGTGTCTATTTTTGCAGATGTAGGACATCATCTACTAGCTTTAGGTTGAATGTTTGAATTGCTTGATACCCTGGAAAAGGACAAAATATAATAGTGCAAGTTAGTTGGTAGCAGGTAGAAACAACATATACCAGTGGCGTACCCAGGATTTCGGCTCGGGGGGGGGGGCGACAAAAATTTCTAATGAAGGTGCGTGGCGTTAGCCACGCACTCCGAAAAAATTTTTGGGGTGTTTCCCAAAATTTTTCCGGGCCCCTGACCCAAAAATTTCAGAAAAAGGGGGCGTGGCGGCAGCCCAAAAATTTTTTTTACAAAGCTAATTTAAATTTTTAAAAAAATTTAAAAATTATTTTAATTATTTACAAGTAAAAACAAGTCCTCTCCACATTTTTATAACACATTTAAGTAACTTCCAAAAATTTCGCGACCCATTCTCGGGGGGTGGGGCCCTCCCGCCCCCCTCGGTACTCCACTGGCATATATTGCCTATTAGGTTGTCTCGAAAATTTTGTGGGTCTCTTCAAACGACTATAACCCTTATATAATAAAGACCCAAATGATCCTCAACATACATTCCATGCATCTTTTCCTTCTCTTTCATATGTTTATGGCTACATTTTTGAGGCAAAATCTGTCATAAGCATTTTGAAAATTGACAAAAATTCATCACCCATCTCGTCTGTTAAAAGTTCGGCTAATTTTCAAAAATTTTATCCCAAGGTTTAAGAAAGATCAGTATGTCTTAAATAGAGCAAATCTCGGACTATACGATGAATTTTTAGATCTCCCCCTCTGCTGAGTTTAGCTGTGAAAAATTTGTTTTCGAAGATCTCGATTTTTGTTAGAGTCATGATATACGCAACTGCAGCAAAAACATGAAAGCTTATAAAGTTTCTGCGAATCGAAACTTGTTTGTTACTGAACATTATTTGCGCAACATAATCAAGCATAATTAAAATAGAGCTGTAAGAAAGAGGATAAAAGTCTGAGTTGTACCATAATTAAGTCGTCCATCAATCAGTATTCTGTGAATTTTAGTGACCAATGAAAAGCAACAAAACTTTCGGACCACCTAAAATAAGCTCTGCAGCCCGAAGTGGCATATTATTGAGTCAATTTAGAAATGCTTTTTGCTTT